GGCTGTGCAGCCTCCCCCCCTCCCTCCCCGGTTCTGGGGTCAGAGCTGCTGCCTCTGCTCCCCTCTGCAGCCCAATTGCTCTGGGTGGCAGGGCCTTTCCCCTGCTCTCTCTCGGCTGAGGTGCCCCTGGGCTCTGAGTGCTCCTAGCTCGAGTGTCGTTTCCCCTGTCCCTTCTCTGGCTCCTGGGAAGCAGTGCACCCCCCTGAACCCCCTTCCTCCAGCTCCTTCTCCCACCCCAGGTCCCCTCTCTGTCCCAGGCCTGCTGGTGGCAGAGAAGAGTTGGTTTTGGAGACGCTCAGGACAGGGAGGAGCAGAGACTCTTCCCTCCTTCTGCTGTGGTGATGTTTTGAGCATCCTCCTGCAGTTTTTGAGAGAGTCCAGCCTCACACCTTATTTTTCTACCACAACATCTGAGATTCCTATTGCCTGGAGTCTGAAAAATGTCCTTGCAACATTCATCTCTTTCTCCCACTGGGCTGAGGATGTGAGACGCTTTAGCCACTGTTCTCCCGGGGGGTGTGGGAGCTGTGTGTGCCCTTGCTCTGGGCTCTGCATCGTCCCAGCCAGTCTTAGTGGCTTTTGGCCTGAAGGGCACCTGGCTGGGTTGGATGGTGGCTCAGCACAGAGCTCTCTCTGTGAAGCTATAAAGTGTTTTGTTTGGTCTCGTTCCTGGTAGGTAGCACCTGGCTCCTTCTCTTGCTGTGCTGCTCATACATCTCCTTCTGCTTTTACAGGGAAGTTTTCAAAGCAAAACATCGTCAAACAGGCAAGAAAGTAGCACTGAAGAAAGTGTTGATGGAAAATGAGAAGGAGGGGGTAAGTGTGAGGAGCACAGCTGTGCTGTATTTGGGAAAGGCCTGGAGAGCGCATAGGTGAAGGCTGATCTTTGGGATGCCAGAGATGTGTTGTCACTCTGTAGGATGTTACCACCTATTTGTACTTCTTTTGCAATATTTACTGCTGTAACGTGCTACATGTTGAACCCTTAAGGATGTGGGCAGGATCTCAGCCCTGTGGCCTGTTTTCCTCTCATACCGATGTTGTGATAACGCTGCATCTCGTGGCTGCCCTACCTCTGAAGGGTAGGTCCTGTTATCGCCTTGTTGGCCGCAAAGCTGCGCGACACCCAGTGCAGCCTAGTAGCTGTGGGGTGACTGAGCTGCTGCCAACGGCTGCTGGGAGGTGACACCTCTGTGCGCATTCATACATCTGTACGAAATCCGATCGCCCCCGGCATGCGTGGGCTTTTGCGTCGGCTGTTGTTCATGGAGGAACTGCCTGAGGTATTGACTGTCCCGGCTGTACTAGGGACTACGCAAAAAGCACATGCTGAGAGTGTGCAGAGAGATGGGGCAGGCTAGGGAGGCACTAACCGAGTAAGCAGCACGGGCTAAGGAGGCCGCTCTGTGGGTCGTGTGGGGCTGTACGCAGCATCCCGTTACAGAAACGCAAAGTGAGGAGAGGAGGGGTGTCTGCATGCTGATTTCACTCTGGCGTCACCCAAAAACCCGTGTGTCATGGCATAATTTCTCTCAGTGACGGTGGCCTGAAACACAGCATTTAGGCAGGTATCTGTCTTTTTGTCTTGTGGCATTTGTAATGCGAGGGCTGGAGAGGAAGAGCCCTGTCCTCTAGGGACTCGGTGTGCTGCGGCCTCCAGGTGCTGAGAGCAGCTGTACCCAGCAGGATCAGCCCTCTGAAACACTGTTCAGAGAACAGGATCTGGTGCAATGGGGAATATTATTATGACAATCCCAGCGTTGGCTTTCTCTTTTGAAGATCTGCTTGCCCTTAAATGACGTGTCAGGGTGCTGCTCAAGCAGGTCCCCTGCTGTGCTGCTGTGATCACATCTCTCCTCCTGTTCTCTAGGCAGCTGTGGCCTGGTCTCCTACACTCCTAATCCATGTTCTCTATTTCTCCTTTCTAGTTCCCCATCACAGCCCTGCGAGAGATTAAAATCCTCCAGCTGCTCAAACACGAGAATGTGGTGAACCTCATAGAAATCTGCAGGACCAAAGGTAGCGTGCGGTGGTGCCTCTTGTGCTGACTGCTTGCTGAAGTGGCTGTTGGCTTTCTTCTGCTGAGCAGGCTGGTGTTTTGTCGGGGGGAGCGGAGTCCTTTGGCTGAGTTCCCTCATCTCTGATTTAGGGTGACAGTAGACCCATCTTTGAACAACAGTGTTTCTGAATGAGTTAAGAGAGGATTGTGCCACAGCTTGGCTGGAATAAACTGTTGGCAGTCCTGCTAGAGTATGCCTGTGCTGCGGCAGCGCACGTACTGTGTGCTGGGAAACTCCCATTTGAGAGGCTTTAAATAAACTAGCACTGGAGAGAAGTGTGAAGCACAGGGTTTTCAGCCTGGAGCTGGTTTTGTGGCTGTGCGTAGCTGATACCCTGTCAGGAGCTGGAGCCGTCCCTCTCTGAGTTTGCATATGACACTTCTTGATAGCTTTGAGCTGGTGACACAGTGCCAGCTGGGGACTTGCTCAGCATCTCCTTTTGTGCGTGACAGCAGAGCTGTTCCTCCACCCCCTTCGTTACAGGCTGTCCCTAGGGGAAGCGGCATGCCTCCTCTGTGTGACTGGAATGCTTAATGCACCTGACCGTGCTTAATTTTGTAATGAAATTGTTTTTTTTTAAATTGCTAATTTTGATTAATAATTAAAATAATAATCATTCTCTTATACAGATTTTTATTGAAAAAATAGTTTTGAAAGTGATAGCTGACGCTGAGGGCTGTGATGCTCTAGTCAGTTATTTCAGTTAAATAAAAACGAAAGTGGGGTGAATCTGCTGATGCCATTTTTTAAAAAGTCCAGTCACTGAACTGGTAGAAGTCCCTGGCCTGAAGTCATTTCAGTACTCCATTGCATGTAGATTACTGTCTATGAGATTTTGGAACTAAAATATATCAGCAGAAACATCAGAAACGTGTATCTGGCATGCCTAAGATATATCTGTTTTGTAGACAGGTAAATTGTTTGCTTTTGGTTTGAATTCCAGTTTCCTTCTAAACCTACTTTGACCTCCGTTTCAAGTAAAATAGGAATGTTTTTTACTGTTATCAAACTTACAGCTTTTCTCTTTTTGTATGTTGGAAAGGAGTGTTAAGGTACACCTTACCTGCGTAAGGAATCACATACCTAGTTCAGCGTGCATCCTCCTGGTTAACAGAGGAAAGCACTGTGTTTACTGTGAAGGCTAAACTTGGCTGTCGTTTTCTGGTTTTAGTTGCTGAGCGGCATGATTTGCTGACTACAGCTGATGAAAATCAGCCTTTTTTCATAATCTTTGCACATATGCTCTAGGAACAAGGCTGAAGTTGATTGCTTTGTTTGAGGTTTCCTGTTATTGGCTTTAAATTGTGATTGCAATTGGAGATCTAAATCATTTTGATCCAGATCACTCCATTGTTATAGACACTGTATGAGGCTGCAGAAAACCCCACTTTCTAATGTTGCATTAGAAAAATCTTCTCTGTTCTGCACTTGTCCCTGGGCTGCCTTTGCCTCCTCTAACAGCGATGCAGCGATAGCGCTCGGTTGGTAGCTCTCGTAGGTGCATCCAGTGGCCACAGCTGTTGCACAGCCCCAGAGCTGTTACACAACACAACGAACAAGTGAAAGTCTCAGGGATTCTCATATCCTTGCCTGCCTTATGCCATTGAGTACTCTGGTCCTTGTCCCCTATTCTTCCATTGCTGCTTGTGCTGTCTTAGTGGCTCCTTATAAAGGATCCTCCAGGCATGGGGAGTGTCTCTGTTTCCCTGTGTTCTTGCGCCCTGAGGTTTTATCTAGTCAGTATTGCTTGAGTGCTGAGGATGGATGGAGGTCAGGAGGAGCTGTGATGGGAACAAAGGTCCCTCGCTGATAGTCCGTCCTTGCCTCTCTTGTAGCCTCTCCATACAACCGCTGTAAGGGAAGTATCTACCTTGTGTTTGATTTCTGTGAGCATGACCTGGCTGGCCTTCTCAGCAACGCCCACGTCAAGTTCACACTCTCAGAGATCAAGAAAGTTATGCAGATGCTATTGAATGGACTTTACTACATCCACAGGAACAAGGTAATGGGCCAGATCTGTGGTGTGATCTGAGCTCCACCCTGCTCTCCACGTTGCCTTCCAAGGAGTGGGTGTCTTGGCTCAGGCTGGAGGGTGATCCTTCCTTGTCCTTTGCCTCTAGAATTTGAAGGTCTTGCTGGCACCACGTGCCCCAGGAGGATACCTTAATGCCTTAGCCTTTCCGTGTCTGTTCTCATACAGATCTTGCATCGAGACATGAAAGCCGCGAATGTCCTGATCACGCGGGATGGAGTCCTGAAGCTGGCCGACTTTGGGCTGGCTCGAGCTTTCAGCCTGGCTAAAAACAGCCAGCCGAACCGCTACACCAACCGGGTAGTGACTCTGTGGTACCGCCCACCAGAGCTGCTCCTAGGTAGGAGGTGACGGGCTCTACCAACTTCTCTTTCCTTCTCTTTCCTCGAGTGACTTAATGCAGCGTCTCTGTTTAGGGGAGCGAGAGTATGGCCCCCCCATTGACCTCTGGGGTGGAGGCTGCATCATGGCAGAGATGTGGACCCGCAGCCCCATCATGCAGGGGAACACAGAGCAGCACCAGCTCACTCTTATCAGCCAGCTCTGTGGATCCATCACGCCAGAGGTGAGGGCGACAGCGGAGGGAATTTGGGGGGCAGGAGAGTAGGGAGGAGGGAGCTGCAAAGTGGTGGCATGGGCAGAGACTGAGATCAGGCATTCCTTTTTTTTTGGCCGTGCGCACTGGCTGCTGTGTGAACCTTGCGCTGGAGTGTGCCTGCTGCTGGCTGGGAGGCCGGCGTGTCTCCTCCCACAAACACTGTTTACTCCCGTGAGCTGAGCGCCCAGCTGGGCACTGCACTCTCCTTGCTGCTGTGCGTAAACCCCCACTGTGCTGTTATTTGTATTCCGCCTCTCGGACATAAAAAGGTGAATTTGGCCTCCCAGACCTCCTTTGAGATGGGCAAGTGGTGTCCTTGTTTTAGAGCTGGGAGGGCTCAGGAGACGGGGGAAGCTGCCCTCTCAGAGTGTGACAGAACAGAAGATTATGTATAGGAATCTGTTCTAATCTGTGTTTGGGGGTTGTGTCTTAGGTAAACACCCTCAATATTTTGCGTTAGATAAAGAAGGGGGGCTTTATTTTGTGCTGAGGGGTCTGTCTGTCTGAGGTGTTTTGCAACAGTCACCTCTTAATTCGGGCCTGTGCTACATGGAATCACCAGCTTGGTGCTGGTGGTCATCCGTTTCTTGGGACAGCTCTTTATTGAACGGTAGCTAGTCCTGCCCTCTTGTGGGAGATGGAGCCCTGAAGAGATCTCTTGGCCAGGACTGTAATCAAGTGGGCTACTATAGGTAGGCCCTCGTGCACATCCAGCTGCAGAGGTCTGACGCCCCTGTTACATGCATTTAAGATGCTTTCTTTTGTATTTAAATACTTCCTGTGCTCTCTCCAGACTGGGTTGAGGTAAGTAGTGTGACTGCAGCAGGCTTTCCTTCTGAAGGATAGAAGGTGCCACGTACATCCAGGTTATTGTTTTGCAGTAGGTTTTGTCCCCTGACCTTTGGGGGGTAGTTGGCCTGAGACACGTTCTCTGCGGTGGGAGAATCAGGAAATTCTGGAACATCCTCAGAACTGCTGTATGCTGTTCCCACAGCGGCACGACTCTGTTCTTACTTGTCCACGTGCCTCCAGGCTTTAGCAGAGTGCATTGCCCTCTCCCTTGGCAGTAAAGTGCCTCTTTCACGCTATGGGAACAAAGTCTGCTGGCTTGGAGGTTATAAAATGTTATTGTTCTCTCGGCAGAGCTCGCCCCAGTTTGCCTGAGGGCATTAGCGTCAAAAACAGCTTGTCCTCTCTGTAACTAATTCTCCCTGACCCTCCCACCCCCACACCCCCTGCCCCAGGTTTGGCCGAATGTGGACAAATACGAGCTGTACCAGAAGCTGGATCTCCCCAAGGGCCAGAAGCGCAAGGTCAAGGATCGCCTGAAAGCCTACATCAAAGATCCCTATGCGCTGGACCTCATCGACAAGCTGCTGGTGCTGGATCCCGCCCAGAGGATTGACAGTGATGACGCACTGAACCACGACTTCTTCTGGTCAGACCCTATGCCCTCGGACCTCAAAAACATGCTGTCCACCCACAACCAGTCCATGTTTGAGTACCTGGCCCCACCACGCAGGAGGGGTGGGCACATGCCCCAGCAGCCAGCCAACCAAGGCAGGAATCCTGCTGCCACCAACCAGACTGAATTTGACAGGGTGTTTTGAGTGGGGACTTCCTCAGCGGAGTCCTGGGGGGGCTCTCCCGTGGGGTGTGTTGAACGGGGATGTCCCCGTGGAGTCTATCTGTCTGGGAAGGGACTTATTTCAAGGCAAAGTGCCTGCCGGTTTTAACCGAGCTCTGCTGCCTGCTCTCCTTGCACAGCAGCTCTGTTGCAGAGGAGCTGTGGGACTGTGTGTGTGAGCGGGGAGGTGAGACATGCAAGCCCAGGGTTCTCTGCTGCTTTGGCACAAAGCCTTGGCCCCCTTGAAACAATCTGTGTATTGGTTACGTGAATCTTGTGGATCAATTGTTATGGACCCGGTGATGGAGAAGGTGGCTCAGTCACTGCTGGAGCGCTGAGGCTCTCCGCAAATGGTGCGGTGGCCAGCAGGACTGGGGGAGCAGCAGCCATGGACCAGACTGGGCCCTACTGGGAACTGTCTCAAATCTCTGCGTTGGTTATAGTTCCCTCATGGTATGGTATATCCTTTGAGCACTGTTTGAAGGGTTGATGTAGGATGAGGCAGGTGCCTCTGACTAACGTGGATAGGGCGAGCAGAGTCACTCTAGACAGTAGGACCAACTCTGACTGGAGTCTGGGCTCTAGACCAGAAAGGGACTTATTGGGCAAACCAGAGAGGTGGGTCACAGAGCTGGTTGCTCCATACAACCAGGATTTTTGGCGGGGGCGGGGGGAGGTCATTGATCTCGGTAACAGCACTCAGTAGCCATGCTTTCTTGGTTGCAAACTGCAATTAAGATTCTTGTCCAGCACACTCGGCGTTCTGCGTGCTTTCCCTGCAGCGCTAACTGTGGCAGGAGGTCAGATCTGGAAGGGAGTTGGAAGCGCTGCCTTCGGTCTCTGGGGCGCGGGTCTGCTCTCCAGCTGCCTGCAGGGCTTTCACAGTGGTGGGATAGTGCTGGCAAAGCCAGGCCAGGAGAGTGCAGCTGTTCTTACCAACGCTTGCATGTGCACTCCACTATCCTGGAGCTCCTTGCATGAGTCTAGAGTAAGATCACTGCCTTCCCCAGATGCAGAGGTTAGACATGCACGCTGTGATGGTGTGTGTACACCTCGTCCTGCCAGAGCTTGTTAAGACCGACTTATAGGTGGCAAGTGCTCCTTCAGACTGCTGCAGCCAATGCATTTACTCTGAACTAAGTTTAGTCTTCCACAGTTGTCAACTGCAGCTGGGTATCTTCTCTGAAAGCCACATGGGTCCCAAGTCTTTTGAATAAGTAACGTGTCCAAAACACAGTGGACGATAACCTTTGGCATTTGATAGGTTGTCCGTTAACTAGACTAATGGCAAAAGCCTCGTTGCTTGCATGAGATCTTGGGGCAGGAAGCGGTGGTGAGCGGACTATTTTCAGAACAGAAAGTGAGGATGATAAAGGACGTATATAAGGTAAATCTCTCTTGATGTGGGGGGACACAGTCTGTTTGGGGAAAAATGAAGTTGGTTGCAAGCGATAAGCCAGATTACTTCTGCCAGTTACGAATAAACACGATCCTGCTCCAAATCATTATTTTTCCCTTGTGTAATTCTTTTTTTTTTTTCCCCCCTAAATGGAGAAACCAGCTAGAGTGCTGTGAAACAGCAACATCTTTGATCTGCTGAGACAGGCAAGCAGATTCAAATTCAGACAAGCAAAACTTCCCTTTACAGGGCTTCCTTTTATATGAGTTGCCTGACTGTCTGCTCTTGTGCTGACACAGAAAATGGTTTTAATGGGTGGGAGGTTCACTGCAATTAGCTGTGAATAGTGCAGGTGTTGCAGCAGATTAATACAGCAGCAAAGGTAGCATTAACTGAAGTGTCTCTTTTGTGAGAAAGCAGCCCAGCTGGTCTGCTGTCTGCCTGGCTTTGGTAAAGGTAATGCTGAGAGTGTCTGCATTAGCTCTGGGTGTGAGAGCTCCCACGGCTTGTGTGTCCCAGAGCTCGAATCAAGTGTTAAGAGTTGCTACCCCCGATGTCACAGCAGACCAGGTGGCCAAAATTCCCCTTGTGCTTCCCCTGTGCCCCCGCTTGCTGCAGGAGCGAGGCTGAACGCCGGTAGCGGCACCATTGGGCTGCGAGGTGGGTCGGCATGAGATGGGTCCCGTTGCCGTGGGGCAGCTTGCTTTGCTCTTCCAGAGCCCGAAGGTTTAATCCTGCTGCCTCGGGGAAGGAATTAGAGGCGCAGAGTCTTGGTTCTCCTGGGCCCTTTGCACTCGTGCTCTCAGGCACCGAAAACCGGGGCGAGCTTGGCGCTACGTCCAGGACTGCCCTGTCACTGCGGTGGGGCGGCTGAGGGCCTGAGGCTGCGACTCATTTTCTATGAAAGCCCCTCGGAGGAAGAGTTGTCGCCCTCGGAAAACCGGCGTGCCTTCCATCGACTGGGAGAAGCGGGCGCTGCTCTGTGGCTGGCCTGCATGGGCGAGGGCAGCGTAAATAGGGATTACCGGGCAGGGAACAAAGTTTCTTGAGACTGAAAAATAGTCAGTTGGGATTGCTTCTTGAATCTCTGTCTCCACGTAGCTCAGCTGCTCTTACGTTGCAACAGTAAGGACGGTTTTGATTTGCTTTTTAATTTTGGAGCTCTCTGCGATGTGACTAAAGCTGCAGCCGCGTTTTGAGCGCGGGCGGTTGCGGCGCTTCCTCGCTGCGGTTCCTGGAGGCCGTTTGCGGCGCCCTCCCTTCGCTGTACCATGCTGGGGTGGTCTCAGCATTGCACTTA